TCATTTTTCTATCCAGGAGAGAAATATCGACTCTGCCAGCCAGGATCTGCCTCCCGCCAGCTCATGCCGCTCTGCAATGATTTCGGCGGTTCCCTATAGGGTTGCAGGGACAAGATTCATGGAATTCAGTGCAAGCACAACAGATATTCACACTGCTGCTGAGTAGCAGGAGTGACTTGTATTATGCAACTGTAAGCCTTAAAAACATAAGGGCTGGCAGCATTACTCTGGTGTCATCTCTGTAACTGCTCTTTGTGATGAGAAGATAGTAGTGGCACAACCAGAAATTACATTTTCATTGCAGGCTTGTACTTTTTCTTATCCAGTCTTAAAACTTCCAACTCCACTTCCAACCACCACAAGCCCTTCTCATCTTTGCAGCCTGGTTTCCTCCCAGGTCTTGTGATTTAACAAGCTCTGCTCTTTGCAGACCTAGCTTTTCTCACTTCCCCTCCCCGGGCTCCACTCCCATAGCCCATACCAGCCAGCTCCCTCCCCACCCATACAGCTCATTCTGTCTTCATAGACCTAAAACCTCTCTGCGAACTTCGGAGACTCCCAAGAGTTACTGGCAACCAGCACACGGCTCAGCCCCCTGCCCTTCGCTCCGACATCAACCCCTAGTCCACGTGTTGGAGCACACCGAGCGTAGGAGCTCCAAGTGGCAAAGCCACGCTCAGGGACGGCAATATTTAGGATAGAGAAACTGAAAGACAACCCTGGACGCGCAAGCTAACTTTTTTCTCAAAGGCTCGTCATGCAGCCAGAAGGCAGCGTTGACACACAGCACGTGTTCCAAGTCCCCGACAGAGCAGCCAAAATACAGCCAGGAGCCTTCAATCACTCCTAACCCCGCAGAACAAACCAGCTTCCCTCTGCTCGCTGTCTACAACGTCTGGACTCCTCTCCTCGCCTGTCCAGATCAGCCAGTTAAATTTGAGGCACCGTTACAAGCCACAGAGAAGCAGATATCCCAGATGGGCAGCATTGTGCAACCCCAGTTCCAGACACTGTTGCTCAATCAGCTGCGAATAAAGCCATGGCCCAGCACCGCTTATGACCCCGGGGGTCTTGGCTGCTCCCAGCCCTGAGACAGCCAGAGACTGAATCTACTCTGAGAAAAGTTCGTTCACAGGTTGGAGTCACGCTGCAACTTATAAAGGAACCGTCAGCCTGCCTGTGGCTCAGGTTTCTTCACCATAATGATCCGAATTTTCTCTATTTGACCAAGTCCTGCTGGGACGGCACCAGCTCTCCCCATGTGAGTCCCACCTACCTCACAGTCCGGCCTCATCTGGAGAAAGTACAATTTGTAATCTCATGATTACATAACGTTTGTAATCTCACAGAGCCACGGTCCATAAGGTCAACTGAGCCTAAGGGAAACAAAACCCCCATCCTCGCTTCTCAAAGGTCTTTTCACAGTTCATAGCAATAAGCCAGTGAGAATGAACGATAACAACACATACAACAGTTTGCTCAAACTGATGAAAGGTTTACAATTCTATACGTATAAAAAAAGATAAGTAGAGGAACGTATCTACAAATAGGTAGAAAATATTTGTCTTCCTGTAGACGCCTTAGTCTAAGGTAGACACAAAAGAAACCTGAAGTAAGATCTTGCAACAGGTTCTCATCCAAACTCTCCAAGGTGCTGAGACCTATCACAACATGCTCGAACAACATCTTGGTAAAGAATAAAACTTTATTTTGTAACAGTTGGAGAAAATGTTTAAAAAAACAAGCAAGTGAGGAGCTGTAAATAAGGTAAAATGCTACCCCCCGAGAGCAAACAAAAACCCATCACCTCCCCAGCTCTGATAGAACACTCCCAAAGCAAGAACAGACTTGTTCTTGCCTGTGCTTCAGCAGAGGACATCCGGAGTTCAGCGCACATGCCAGACGCCGTCTTGCTGCTGGCGGGGGCTGTCCTTGCTGGGGTGGTACATCCCGATATCCCTGAGCACCAAGGGAGTCACCAGATATCCCCTGGAGGCAACAAGCGCGTTGCCACCACAAACCCTGACGATGATGACCCCTAACCACCAAGGAGGAGGAATAAAAAACATCAGGAGGAACCATCCATCGCCACCACAAAACAAGCATGTTTGCACACTATTGTCCACATTCAAGTGAAGAACAGGAGCCAGCTGGAGCTCCTTGGAAGACCTCGTTCAACTAGGACTGAAATCCATGCCCAGGGTAGTCCTATTCAGCAGCTACTAAAGTTTTCCTATCACTATGGTATTTGTTCACCCCAGAACTCACAACACATTTGCCTTGTCAGGCAGAAAAGCAAAACCCCAAACAACTTTTAAGATTTATAGTGGAGGGAAGAAAACCAAGAAGTTGGAGCACAGTCAAACAGCATCTTCCAGAGGATCCTGAGCAAAGCTCGAGACCAAAGCAGCTGGTGTCT